AGTATTTAGAAGGGAAACCTTTGTTACAGTGGTCACATTTGTATGGTTTCTCCGCACTGTGGATCATTATATTATGACGCTTAACATAAGATTTAAATGCAAAACATTTATGACAAATATCACATTTGTGCTGATTCTTTTCTGTTTGAGTGGTTTTTTGGTTTGGCTTCTCTCCAGTACGAGTTACTTTATGACAAGTAAGATGGTATTTCCTTGTATAACATTTAGTGTTAGTGTCACATTTGAACGGTCGAGTATCAATGTTCAGCTCATTAGATGTGTTCTGCACGTATCTTGTTTGAGCTAAATCAGTAGGCTGCAACACCACAGGTCCTATGACCATTTCTTCCTTGACTTCATGATCTGCATACAGATCCTCCTTCTCCTTTTTCCTTTGTTCTTCTTCTGCAACACCAACTGGTTCTTGTTTAATGTGGACATTCGTATGTAAATCCATAGGGCTATTTTCTACTTCACTTGCCTCCACCTTGACGTTCATGGCTTGGGCCAACGTCAGTTTTGTAAAATTATTCATTCACTTCAACTTCAACTTCAACTTTTGTGTCTATGGCTCCGTCGTTTTGCGCGACGATTTTGCCAATGTCAGGGTTGAAAGACGTGTGGAGCGGTGGTGAGATAGATTGCCGGTTATTAAAATACTTCGGCGGTTTTTATTCACAATGACGGTTATATATATATTTTAATGACATTACAAAAATATAATTTGAGAGCTCATGTTATTTTCTTTCTTTTAGAAACATTGTAGGAAGTTTTATTTTTTTTCTTTTTTTCTCTTATAGTTTGGCACTATGGCGTCCAGCCTTTGGCCATATGCAATTTCCACTGAGTTGCAAATTTTTGATAATTCTTCCAAATTGATATTTTCTTGCTTCTTGAAATTTCAGCGTGGCAGTTGTTGTTGTGGAACTTTGGTTGGGTTTATGGATATTAATATGAAATTAAAAACGGGGAAAGGAAATCGCGGAATTAAAATAAAAGCAAACGGAATTTTGGAAAGGTGATCAATAGGATAGGATAGGTAGTATATTTATAAGTAAATCTAACCAATGAAGGATGGAAATTATGAAAGGAAATGAGATGATAATAGCTGAAAATAATGATAATTGAATAAATAATAATCTAAATTTTAATATCATTTTTCCTTATAAACTGAGCCAAAACATTGTAAACGGAATAATTATTATACGATAATAATAGAGGAATAGATGTTAATAAAGGAATTTGTAAAGAAATTATAGATTGAAAAAATGAAGCACGGTCATATCTTGGACAGGAAAAGAAAAGGTGGTTCAGACTGCCAATGTCTTGTTCGCATTCGCACATTGAATCAGATATTATGTTAAGTCTAGCAAGATGTTCAGTTGAGCAAGTATGTCCTAATCTCATTCTTGTAATGATTGAAGTAACACGTTTCTCAAAATGTATACGCGAAAACCAGGGTTTGACAGGGATGTCGGACTGTATATCACGAAAATATCTGCCCGTAGCTTTACTGCTTGTTTCCCAGACAGTTTGCCAAGATTCTTTAAGGTAAGTAGCAGGTAGTGTAGCCAAGTCATGAGCAAAGTTTCTATATAAATCTACATCGCCGTTATTTATTGCATCTTTAGCTAAGATATCGGCTCTCTCGTTACCTCTAATATCACTGTGACTTGGTATCCACACAAATAATACAGAAAGACCCTTTGAATGGCACTTGTAAAGGGCTTCACGAATTTGACAAATAATTGGGAAAATGTTACCTGATTTAAAAGGGAATTTACATAATGACTGCAGAGCACTTTTACAATCAGAAAATATTATTGTTTTATGTAATTTTATTAAGAGAATGTATTCAACTGCCTTAAGAAGACCTACGCATTCACCAGTGAAAACGGATGTTTCAGGAGGAAGCTTTGTTTTTTGAATGATATTGTATTGAGAATGAAGAACACCCACTCCTACGGCCGAGTTATCTAGTTTAGAGGCATCAGTGAAAATATGGTTGTAGGAATGCCAATTAATATCTAAGTTAAAGTTAAAGGAAGCGTTAGCAAAACGTCTATTAACTTCACTAAAATCAAAAGAGACGTCAGGGGGCAAAATAAGGCATTCATAATTACTACCGTATAATGGGTGAGTGTCAAAACTATGAGTTGGAGCTTGTAATGTAAGATACTTTCTAAAACTATTTATAAGGCAAGGAGTACTTTTATGAGACCAATAACCAGTATATTTATTAGATTGTTTAATAGCTCAAGTTTTTGCAGCAAAGGGTGACGATTAAATTGGATAATGCGGAAAAAGAATTTATCAGCTAAAAACTGTCGACGAAGGGCAAGCGGAGGTTCAACGCACTCCACTTGCATCGCATTTATCGGACTTGATTTCATAGCACCGGTTATTATTCTGAGGGCCTTCGACTGAATCTTATCTAGCTTTTTAAGATTAGACAAGACACATGGCTCCAGCATAAAAGATCCATAGTCAATTATATCCTAATCAGAGCATTATACAGCAGTTTTAAAGAGTACGAATGGCTGCCCCACCAGACCCCGCATAAACATCTAAGCATGTTAAGAACCTTTTCACATTTATTAACAACATAATCACAATGAGGAGATCCATTCATTTTACAATCAAAAAGAATACCAAGATATTTAACCTCGCCAACAACAGGGATTAGGTTATTATTAAAAGAAACATTTATTGCAGGATGAACTTTACGCCTTGAGAAAAACACAATGGAGCTTTTGCTAGTAGATAACTCTAGACCATTCGAATCTAACCAGCACTTTAACAATGTCAATTTATTTGATAGTACATTCACGGCTTGGTCACTTAGATTAGATTCAACATATAAAAGAACATCGTCAGCATATTGTAAAATAGAAACTCCATTACCTAAATATCTGTCTAAATCATGAGTGTATATGTTGTACAGTATGGGACTCAAAACAGATCCTTGCGGAAGACCTTTATTTATTGTCCTCTGTAAAGAATATTCATCATTTATAACATTAATAGTTCTATTGTTTAATAAATTTATAATGAAGTTAGATAATAATGGTGGAACCTTTAAACAATCTAATTTTGTTTTTAAAATTGGAAAAAGAACATTATCATATGCCGAACTGATGTCTAAAAAGGCAGCTAAAATAGAATTACCGATAGAAAAAGCTAATCTTATATCTGTTGTAAATATAGAGAGACAGTCCATGGTGCTTCTACCTTTTCGAAATCCGTACTGATTATTGGGCAACAAATTGTTATGTTCAACATACCAGTCCAACCGGGTTTTCACTAAACTTTCAGCAGTTTTGATTAAGACAGAAGACAAGGCAATGGGACGGTAAGATGTGCTTTCTGTTGGATTTTTATTTGGTTTCAAAACTGGTAACACTATCTGGCTTTTCCAAGACGGCGAAATTTCACCTGTCAACATGGATGTGTTAATCAACTGTAAATAATAATAAAGGGCAGAATCATCCAAATTAGATAAAAGGGAATAAGTAATTCCATCACTACCAGGAGCAGAGTCTACAGTATTAGATAAAACGCCTCTCAATTCTTTCAACGAAAATGGCAAACTTAACCCTGATTCATCATTTGAAACTAAAACTTTACCAAGAACTATTTGTTGTTGGGCTATCGGAGGGGCTAACTTATCAATTAACTGTTCAGCAATATCAAGAGGTAAGTTTCTTAAAGGGGAATCTTTAAAGGCAGATCTAAATCGACGTATCATGTTCCATACAACAGAAAAAAGAAAAGAGTTGGTACTGGGACTGATGGAATCACAAAATCTACGCCAGCTTTGAAACTTCTTCTCTTTGAGTCTTTTTTGTTTCAGACATAATTAACTTGAGCGACTCAAAGTTCTCGATAGTCATACTATATCGATATCGTTCTTCAGCCTCTTTACGCCTTTTAACAGCTGAGGTACATTCTTCATCCCACCAGACAGGGGAGGGGATATGGTTTGAATAACTGTTTTTAATAAAAAAATTACATCTGCACACTGAGTAATTAACAAAGCTAAAGCATTTGAATTTTCTATGACATTATTGCAGTTTATATCGGGTAGAGTAGACATCTTTGATTTAATAAGCTTTTTAAATTGATCCCATTTATCACCTTGTAAGTTGTATCTATAGTTAGACTTGTATTTCAAGTTCTTTTTACTCTGAAAGGGAAAAGTAATGACTATGGGGAAGTGATCACTACTAAAGGTCGATGTCAAGGTCTGCCATGTTAAGGAAAGTGATAGACTAGGAGAGCATATTGAAAGGTCAATAGCACTAACAGAGTTGTTGGGGTCAGTAAGGCGAGTAGGAGTTCCAGTGTTCAATAAGGAAAGATTGTTGGTGTCTAATATGTCAAGTATTTGATCTCCATAGCAATTTGATAAGGAGCTTCCCAATACTTGATGTTGACAATTAAAATCACCCATGACTAAACATGGTTTGGGAAGAATAGAAAACAGATTATTAATTTGATTTAATATTAAGGTACTTGGATGAGGTACATAAATAGAAACAAAAGAAATATTATTTACAGAAGCAGCAATGACTGAATAGTCATCACTATGAGAAG